TACATTTTGATGTTATTCACAAAGTTCTAACAAAAATTTACCCAAATATTTTGTTAGAACTTTGTGAATAACATCAAAATGTATAGGAATCAAGAATAGTCCAATTTGGAAGATTTATGACCATGTGGATGCACAGCTATATGAGATTGTTTGAAAAAGACGCCTCGAAACGAGTCTCAACTCCGGGGGAGTTCGTTCATCGTTGCCAACTGATTTGGCTTGTGTTATTTGTAAAATATCCTTTGCCAACTGTTAATTGGCTTGTGTTGTTTGTAAAACATACATGAATATATGGTCAAAATGGTGTAATTTGCATTTATATAAATCTAAATAATGCACAATTTGTAGTAATTCTATCTTGTTTATATCAGTACTATGCTGCAATCCCCCTTTATCTGCTTTGCTGAGACACAACAACCAGGACCCCAACTTGCGCTTCCCTCCCTGCCCACCCATGTGCCTCACCTGCCTAGGTGTTCTTCCCCTGCTTGTGAACCTTCCTACTGGCTGTGCTCACAGCCACATACGTGGCCAGTGCACACCTTCCCCAATGATGCTGGGTGGTGTGTGTAGCTGCGAGTGCCCTCGCTGTGCCTTCCAACTCTGCTGCTGTTGCATGCCACCTGCACATCCTTTCCTGGCAGTGTTTGGCAGTGTGTGCTGCCAGGAGCGCAGGTGGTGGGTTGGGCAGGGGAATGGTGTGTGCGCCCTTTGCCTCAGTAGCTTCCCATCGCTGGGTATGCTGAGAGGAAATGGCAGCTTCGGTAAGCAGACCGGATGGCATCGTATACCCACCGAGCTCATCTCCAAGCTCCACCTGCCACCCAAATCTCCAGCAGCTTTCAAGGCTGGAGTCGTCAACCCTACATGAGACCAAGACTTAGACGTATCCTGATTCCATGATGGAAGACAGGAAAAAGGCGGTCCCTCTGAAAAGTACCCACAGCAAGTGGTCAGTTCTCGAATCATCTCCTCGCCATTTAAATCCACAACTGTGATCCCCCGCACACCAGAAACGGCCTTTTGTCTCTTTCTGGCAGCCAACACTCTCTCAGTATTCATATCCTCTAGTCTACTCAGAGAACTCAGAAGGAGGGAAGGGGGTTCTTTTCTTTTCTTTTTTAAAATAACTTTTTATTAAAGTTAAACTTAAAATTGCAATGCTCAATATGGGTAACAAAGCTGCAAAGATCGTACAGTTTAAAATATAACAAGAACACCAACCAAATAGAAGTAAAACTGGAGTTACAAACATAGTCTATTAGAATTACCAGGGCTCTTTTTGTAGAAAAAGCCCAGCAGGAACTCATTAGCATAATAGGCCACACCCAACAGCAGAAACTCATTAGCCTATTAGGCCACACCCCTGACAGCACAGCTCATTAGCACATTAGGCCGCATCCCCATTTTATCAGAAGTGTGGTCACCCAGCCACACCCACCTTTCGCTTCTTATTCTGTTTACCTTGTTTGTTGTCAAAACCCAGGGCCTTTTTTTGTAGCCGGAACTCCTTTGCATGTTAGGCCACACACCCCTAATGTAGCCAATCCTAATGAGTTTCTGCTGTTGGGTGTGACCTGTTATGCTAATGAGTTCCTGCCGGGCATGGCCAACTCGGGAGCCAGCCAGAACTCGGTTCCTGTGCGTTCCTGCCCAAAAATAGCCCTGAGAATTACTATTCTATTGCTACTGTGGAACTAAAAGCAGCCATTTGAAACAATATCAATATAACCTCTACTTTTAAAATTCCACTTCACAAAAGGAGCCCATTTCTTAACTATATAGGAATCATCAGCCTGCAGATCCAGTCCTTGTATATCATCAGATAACTTGTCCATAACAAAATAATTCCATAATTTTGTATACTACCGTTGAACCATAAGGGGGTTCTTTCCACTTTAAAGCTATTATGTTTTTTTTGCTGCCGTGGGCATTGTCATTATAAGATCTTTCTTGATTTTAGAAAATTTGAAATTATCCCAAAAGTCCAATAAAATCAGCTCTGTAGTGGAATTGTAATACCTGTTATGCAAGCAATTTCTGATATGACTTGTTCCCAAAACACTTTACTTTACACGTCCACCAGTTATGTATAAATGTTCCTTTCCCCCCGCATTGTTTCCAACAATAAGAAGATGTCAATGAAGTGCAATGTGACAACCTAGCTGGAGTCAAGTACCATCTAGATACAACTTTATATGTTTGTAATTGAATTGGGATTGATTTAGAAATATATACTGAGGCATTCCATATTACTTGCCATTAAAAGGTAAAGGTAAAGGTTCCCTTGCTCGAAAGCCAGTCGAATCCGACTCTGGGGTGGCGGTGCTCATCTCCGTTTCAAAGCCGAAGAGCCAGCGCTGTCCGAAGACGTTTCCGTGGTCATGTGGCCGGCATGACTGAACACCAAGGCTATCCATGCCTAAATCCTTATGCCAAGCAGTTTGATACAGGTGGCAGCTCTGATGTTCATATTTTAATAGAATGTTGTAGATTTTCGAAATCAGCCTCTTGATAGGGGTAGATTCATAAGGGAAGGGGTTTCTCATATCATGCCTACAGTGAGAACTGGAAACCCACCCACCCCAGTTTTTTCAGAGCATTCTGGGGGAAAGCCTGTTTGAAGACTCCTGTTTGAAGACTCTCAGTAGGAACAAGAGATATTCTTGATGCCGTTTTGTTTCTCCAAAATTAGACCGATCCTCTCCCTCTCCTGAGTTCTGTAAATGTGCCAGAGGGCTTAGGGGTGGAGGGGGGGGGTCAGGGTTGCTCATGGCCACAGCTAACGGCTGGGTACCAATGCCAGCTGTGGACCCCGGTGGAAATAATGATTTGCTGAAGACTCTGTACAGCTAGGGCCTGTTTGAGCGTAAATATATGTGCCCTCAACCGTTTCTGGCGTACCTTGCAAGTGTGTGTGCGATTTTTGGGTGCCACAAGCTCACAGCCTCACTTGAGTTAGAACTTTTTACAATTTCTCACTGATGCTTATTGCTTGGCTAGAATGTTCCCCAAGAACATTGTGTGTTCAGTAGCCACGTTTTTATAATCTGATAAACTGTTGAGGTCCTTTGCCAGTTCAGATCTCCACAGGCAGTGAATAACATGGTCACATTCTGGCCAAAGAATGCTTGAAATAGACGTGGGGTTTCCGTTTGTTTGTCTTCTACCAAATTAAGATTGCCTAGGTCATATGGGCAACCCCTTGTATAAACTACGTCCTGTTCTTCTATTGACAAGTGAACCACCAGTATTGCATAAGAGTGGGCCCTGACATTGAAGGTACCTGCCCTGCTGTGACTATGTGATTTGTTGTTGTTGTTCAGTCGCACAGTCGAGTCCGACTCTTCATGACCCCATGGACCAGATCCCGCCAGGCCTTCCTGTCTTCTGCCGTCCTCTGAAGTTTGCTCAATTTCATGTTTGTTGCATCTATGACACTGTCTAACCATCTCATCCTTTGCCGTCCCCGTCTTCTTTGACCTTCAATCTTTCCCAGCATCAGGGTCTTCTTCTCCAGTGAGTGCTCCCTTCTCATTGGGTTGCCAAAGTCTTTGAGCTTCAGTTTCATTATCTGGCCTTCCAGGGAAAAGTCAGGGTTGTGTTTTTTTTAGGATTGACTGATTTGATCTTCTTGCAGTCCAAGGGACTGATAGATCCACTGACAAATAGTGATTGTAAACGGCGTCTGAGGAGTGGCGGGCACTGCTGGCAGGTTGATATTGCCCAAAGGATTGCCAGAAGGTCTAGAGCTGAATTGCCCAAAGGATTGCCAGAAGGCCTACAGAACCCAAGCTTGTCTCTTCAGCATAACAGCTGCCCTTGGTAGGTAAACATGGCCGACAACAGGAGGCAACATAATAAGTTGGATCCAGTGAACTGTGAATGGGAGAAGTTCACTGATTCCCTTCTCTCCCTCTTCTGCTTGTCCTGAAAAACTGTCACAGGAACTAGCTCGTGGAGGGCTGTAATGAGAAGGGGGACTTGTCAAAAACTGCCCCTTACACACATACACTGTCGTGTGAGCTTGTAGCCCATTTGTGGACTACAAGAGCCAGTTTGTTGCAGTGGTTATGAGGGTGGACTCTAATCTAGGAGAACCAGATTTGATTCCCCACTCCTCCGCGTGCAGCTGCTGGCGTGACCTAGGGTCAGTCATAAGTTCTCTCAGAGCTGTTCTCTCAAGAGCAGTTTCTGTCAAGAGCTTTCTCAGCCCCGCCTACCTCACCAGGTGTCTGTTGTGGGGAGGGGAAGGGAAAGGAGACTGTAAGCCGCTCTGAGACTCCTTCGGGTAGTGAAGGGCGGGGTATAAATCCAATCTCTTCTTCTCTTCTTCTTTTTCACTCCTCTTGTCCCAAAAGAGGGGAAAAAGATTTTGCTTTCTGCTGTGTCCTTTTGACACACAGCCCCCACCCCCCACCCCCGCATCCCATCCTAATTATCCGGCTCCCACAGTTTTAAGGAGTTTGCAGGGGAAGGGAGGTGGGAGAGAAATGTGTCCCATTAACTTCTTCCATCTATGGTCCTTAGGATCCAACCTGATATAACATACCTTAACATTTTGTCTCTCAGCCAAGAATTCATTCCTCATTCTTTGTGTGTCGTCTCCCCCACCCACCCCACACGCACCCATTGGTTTGCAGCTTCAGTTGCAAAATTATTATATTTTCTCAGCATTCATCCTTTAAACCTTTTCTTTCTTTAGTTTTCTGCTTATTCTGATGCTTGGTAACAGAAAGATGCTTTAAGCATATAGAGTGGAATTTATGTACGTTTTCCTATTTATAAATACACAGGTTGAAAACTGTTAATGGGAAAAAAAAGTGCAACATTTTATATCTGTGGAGAATGTGGTTCTTCTACCCTGGCAATGCATCTATCAGAAGAACCGGGCAGAATTCACTGATCTTTAGAATAAGATATCCCTTGCACCTTGATACGAATAGGAATCTTGATATGGAACCAGGCCCCGCTCATATCCTTCCGGTTTGTTTTTTTAGGTCATCGTTCTTTCATCCTGGTGTCTCCTGAGGGATTCAGTCTACTATACCTTCTCTGTCATTGCACTTATTTTGGTAAGTACTCAGCAGTTGCTTTCCTGTGAAAAATTATTCATAGAATAAATAAAAAGGTGGGAGTTCCACAATGTTGTACTGTTTGCTTGCTTTTTGCAGAGGATGGCTATAACACCCAGAACCTAATTGTTTAACAAATATGGGGTGGGTTTTTTTGCACATTACAATTTCAAATTTTGCTTCTTTTGTCCTGACTTTGATTTCTATGCATAAGGGACTGAAAAATAGGCTGCACCCAGACAGCTGGGATTCTCTTTTTTGCTTTTATTTATGCTCTGAAAGCAGAGGCTTACGCACTGGCAACAAAGCACACACAGATGAAGGGTTTTTTTGCATGCTTTCCTCTGTCAATCGCCATTTTCCCTGCTTTTCCCCCCACTGCACCACCAGAAGCCTTTTGGAAGGCTTAAAAAAACACACATGGTGTTAGATACGAGACTCGAGGCAGCAGGTGAACAGTGATAACAGCTTTATTGAACATGAAGATTCTCGAAGAGGCATGTGAGGGATGCAATCCTGAAAGTGGTTGCTGGAATACCCCTGAAAGTGGGGGGAAATACCATCAGAACGCTAAAGGATATTCCATTTGAAGTAAGACAATGGAGAAAAAAGTACAAAGAGCTCGTGCTTTTTCTTCAGACAAACTCAATTGGATATAAATGGCTATTTCCAGAAGACGTCACTTTCAAGATCAAAGATAAAAAAGAAAAGATTGACTCTGTTCTGAAAGCTCAAGAATTTCTAAGGGTTCAGCTGGGAAGACCAGAGGACGGGAAAAAAGAAGAGGACAGCAAGTATAGTGGCGAGCTGGATTCGGGTTCTTCCGGAGAGGACTCTCTGACAGAGCAAGGGGCAGCTGCCCCCAAAAGTCTTTATAAACTGCGGAAGAGACAAGGAAAGGAGAAGTGAAGGCTGAAGGACTCTGAATTGTGCCTTTGAGAACTCTGGAAGGGGATGATTGGGGGTACTGTTCCTAGACAGTTAAATTTAAGAGTTAAAGGAAAAGTATTATAAATGTTTGACTCAGTTTATAATAATCTAAACGAAATGAAGATTTGTTGTACCACATGTCAGATAACAGCCAATCATATTTAGTACATGAAGACCACTCAGTTTGCTTCCCTCCAGAACTTCCCTGGTTCTGATAGGTCGGTTTACAATACCTTGCATCAGACTCAAGCTCAATACATACATACATTCCATTCCATACATAAAAATCCTCCCCCCTAAGGCGAGACAACCCTTGAGCAGACGTAGTCTTTTAAGTAAGCAGGACGCTGCTTAACCCGTTGGGATCGTCTTACTCTTTCTGTTGGTGGGGTAGGAAGAAGAGCTTCGGGCTCCCTGTTAGTGGGTTCAGCCTGATCCCTAATGGGACTGAGAGTCCATGGCCTGAGTCCATAGTTGTGGCTCTCCTCGCCCTTGACTATGCCTGGGGATTCCATTGCTTGGAAGTCCTCAGCCTGTTCGGAGTCTGGAGACTCTACCTGACTGTCCGAGTCAGGTATGTCAGTCACCTGTGGAAGGGAATCAGGGACTGAGTCAGCCCACCATTTGCTCAACTGGTCAACATGGTGCTTCATAATATGACCATCAGTAATACGTACAGTATAATGGCGGGATCCCAAAACATGAGTTACAATTGCTGGTAACCGTTTGTGCCCACTTCCATAGTTTCTGGCATACACATTTTCACCTGCGACAAAAACCCTGGGTTGGTCTGTGGACACACTGTGGAGCGGCCGGGTTGTGGTCAAGTCTGGGTGCATACAATGTAACACCGTAGTCAGACACCAACCCATAAGCATTTCGGCCGGGCTCCGCCCCGTCACGGAGTGCGGCGTGATGTGCTGGTGCAGGAGGAACAACGCCACCTTCTGGCTCCTGCACCAGGCGGCTGAGTGCTTCCTTTGTGGTCCGCACCATTCTTTCGGCCTGCCCTTTGGTTGCCGGGTGGAATGGTGCGGACGTACTGTGCTGAATTAAGTTTGCCGCCAAGAAGTCCTGGAACTCTGTGGTGGTAAAACAGGTCCCGTTATCGGACACAAAAGTGTCTGGCAACCCGTGCGTGGCGAAAATGTGGCGCAGCGCATTGATCACCATCAGCGCAGTCATTTTTGAAGTAGGGACTACTTCAAGCCATTTGGAATAGGCGTCAACGATGATTAAAAATATTTGTCCCTGAAACGGACCCGCAAAATCAACATGAACTCGTGCCCAGGGGCGGTGGCATTTCTCCCACTGTTGTACCAGGGCATTTGAAGGATCAGGCCGGGATAGCTGGCACTCATTACAACCCTGGACCCACGACTCAATGTCTGAGTCTATTTTTGGCCATCAAAAATAACCTCTAGCCAGCCCCTTCATCCATACAATGCCGGGGTGGCATTCGTGTAGTGCCTCTAGAACTCGGTTCCTCAATTTGGGGGGGGAACACCACCCTGTTTCCCCACAGTAAACAACCCCGGTGTACAGCTCGCATTGCCGTGATGCAAACGGCTTAAAAACTTCAGCTACACGACCCACCGGCCACCCCCTTCCACACCCACCGGCCACCCCCTTCCACATCCAGAACTCTGGCGATTGTGGAGTCTTTGGCTGAGGTGGTTGCAATGTCCGAGGAGTGCACCGGAGGCTTGGTCAGTTCCTCGAGGGCCATTACCTCAAAAGCCTGTGCAGGGTCAGAGTCTAGGTCCGGTAGGGGACAGCGGCTGAGGGCGTCAGCATGCTCCATGTTCTTGCCAGGCTGGTGTTCCAGGACATAGTCATACGCTGATAAAAACACTGTCCAGCGCAACATCCTGGCTGACAGTACATTGGGAGTTTGCCGGTCAGGCGCGAAAATCCCCAGGAGTGGCTTGTGGTCCGTGGCCATCACAAAAGGCCTCCCATAAAGAAAGTCGTGAAATTTCTTCACGCCAGTCACAAGCACCAAGCCCTCTTTATCTATCTGTGCATAATTCCTTTCCGCAGATGTAAGTGTTCTCGAATAGTAAGCGATAGGCGCTTCCCTACCGTCAGGCAATACATGGCTTAACACAGCCCCCACCCCGTACGGAGAGGCGTCCGCAGCCAATACCAATTGTTTCGACTCATCATAATGTGTAAGAACAGCGTCGGAGGATAACAGTGACTTTATTGCTTCAAATCCACGATCGTGCTGAGGGCCCCACTCCCACTTTGCTCCCTTGTTGAGGAGCCGATGTAATGGCTCGGCAATGGATGCTTTACAAGGGAGGAAAGGATGATAAAAATTTAAGATTCCCAGGAAGGATTGCAATTCGCATCATCTTACATTGACCATTGGAGGGGTAGGAGGCAAGACTTGGGCTCCCCATGAGTGAGTTTGGTTTGATTCATAAGAACATAAGAGATGCCAATGTTGGATCAGGCCAAAGGCCCATCCAGTCCAACACTCTGTATCACACAGTGGCCAGAAATACCAGTGCCATCAGGAGGTCCACGAGTGGGGCC